TCCAGGAGTATATAAGAGGTGCTAAGGGTTTTCTTTTTTAAGGCATGAACTCTTACCGACAAAGACAGTGAGGGTGAAGACGATTATCAATAGCATTTAAAACTGACTCAAGAAAGCTGAATCCTAAACTGGCATTTAGGGAAAGCTGAGATGCAACCTGATTTATACCACATAACTTCCAAAATTCTCAAGAAAAAGTGGCATAAGGTACCTCTGGAAGTGGGGGGGAAAGGTTGGCTAAAAGAGGAAAATTGAAAGTCTATTCCACAACATGTTCTCACCTCCCCTAATGAAAAAAGAAATTGATTTTCTTTAGAAGGCAAAACACACAGGGTGGTCTGGAATGGAGGCCATCGGCATATTAAGGGAATAGGTACCACACTGGAAACGGGTGAAACAGGTATCTGCTGAATTTGGAGACCTGCTACCTCCCTTCTCCCTCTAGTTCTCAGAATCCTTACAGCCAGACATACATCCTTTAGAACGTGGAAGAACTGTCCCTGAAAATCTGACCACCTCTAAGAGCAAGAGCCTTAGAAAATAATAAGCCATATATTTTGCATATATTATTCTATAGGAAGATTCTTTATAGAATGCAACTCAGGCAAAATTCGGGGTCAAGCGGTAAAAATTTCCTCAATATCCAATCTATAGGATTCTTTTGCTAAAATTATCTAAGATGTCCAGACATAATCTTGAGATGATTTCCTGTAACTTGCTTTGGATCATTAATTAGAGTAGTATGAGTTATTTCTTTTTCCAAAAAGAAAATCAAGCATCAGATCTAAAAATCTTAGTAGAGCTACATATAAAAACAGGTAATTTAAAGAGTTCATCTAGTCCCTTCTATTTTCTTCAGAAATTATATAGTATTTACTACTTAATAAACTATCTAGATTTTGCCCTTTGAAAAATTCAATTGACATTGTCTATAATTCAAAACAAAAAAATTAAATATAAAACATCAACACTTAAGTGCACATATAGTAGTAACATTCATTGGGTGTCAGGCAGGTGGGGCAGCAAGGAGGGGATGGATATATTCACATCTAATGGGTGCGGTGTGCACTGTCTGGGGGATGGACTCGCTTGAAGCTCTGACTCAGGTGGAGCAAAGGCAATATATGAAACCTAAACATTTGGACCCCCGTAACATGCTGAAATAAAAATAAAATAAAATGTGATAAAAAAGCAATGAACCTTCTTTCAAGGGAAAAATGCCTAAATACATAAAGATATATTACAAACTATTTTAGATCTCTGAAGGTGAGATAAAAAAAAAACACATAATAACAAAAGAGCTTTGGTGGCTCTCTTTCATTGAGCATAGAGGAAAATCCTGATCTAAATTTCTTAGCTGAAAACTCTGATGCATCATCGTCACCCATGGAATCCTTAAGCCATGTTGTTTTCTTTGGGCTTATCATGCTCTGTAATATGCGTTTTATTTTCATCTAACTGAGTAGACCATTTTGCTAGGTCCTTGGTTTATTCTCCCATATTGCCTCAAAACTTTTAATACGAGTTTTACAGAACTTTTTAAACACTATAGTTTTAAAGTTATGAGCATGCTCATAAAAATAAAGACTTTTTTATTTTACTTGAACTTAAACTATTAAACAGAAAACATGGACAAAATGAAGGTCAGAAATGATCCATTTAAATTGCTAAAAAATTACCTGCCTGAAACTATAATTATTAATTACATAATTATTTTAAATTCAAATTAAACAAAAGTTTTGTTAATGAAAGTGGTTTTTATTCTAAGTACAGTAATACCTATATTACACAAATTGAGAAATCAGATGTTCTGGTTGGATAAGTTTTCCATATAGGTCAAGGCTCAGCATAAAAGTTTTAAGTTTGTATCTGTCTCTCCATGGAAATTTTCTAAAAGACATCTTACCTTTCCCTGTTTAGTAAACAGCATGCAGCACATAAATTTAAATTCCTAGTGATTCATAATTTCTTTTTTGCATTGCTATCCCATCACCTGTAATATCAACAGCATAGCACAGACATTCAGTCTTACATTTGCCATGGTCTGCTGCAAGAGCTTCCGAGCATGGACCTCCTGGCCCTGGCCCATGGACACATAACGGGTTTCTATTTTTAATCTCTTCCCCAAGGCGATGATGGAATCCGTGGGGTCTGAGCCCATAGACAGGAGACAGATGAGTGGTGTCCGTGGATCAGATTCCTCCCACGTCTTCTCCAAGTCCAGGATAAATCCTTCTGCATATTTTTCTCCCATAGAGTCCGTGACATACTTGCGGGCCTGCCACAAACAGTACACAAGTCAACAAAAATAGTTCCAATCCCTTCATGTATATAAGGCAGTGCAGTTTCCAAAATTCATCATTGAATGAACTCAATGATGTCCACAGTAACTCTGCCAGAGGAAAAGGACAGAGACTTTTTTGTATGTTTGTTTGTTTGTTTATATTCCCATTCTATAGTCAATGAGGCTGTGTTGCTTGCTCAACACAAAATCATACGCTTAAAAGACCAGAACCAAAGTTGTATGACTTCTGGTCTGGAACCCACCTCAATACACTGGATGCTTATTGTTATACATGAAAAATAAAAATATTAGAAAATGCTATTGTTTAGTACACTTTAAGGCAAATATATATGCATTTAAATAATCAAGTAAGCTGCAAATGCCTAGAATTTAATGGATACTTACCAAAGAGATAATTATCAAATGACTACTTATTGAATGAAATTTATTGGATACTCATTGAATGAATGAATGAATGAAGTTTTTAAATATTTAATCCGTAATCTTTCTCTCCATCATTGTCACCATCCCTTCCCATCTTTGGCTCATCCTCTTCCCTGTTAATTTTGTTTTGAATGAAATCCATGCTCACAATATCACCAACTTTGTCAAATTTATTATCAACCATAAAAAAATTTCTAGTAACAACACAGACCTTTTGCAAACAAGGTAAATGAGTTACAACTTATTTTTCAACAAATGATATTGTGAATATGACCCTTACTCCATATTCTCCCTCTCGTAAATGATTAGATTCCCTCAAGGAAAATTTCCCTCCTATTCTGATGTCTTCTCCCACCTCAAGTGGGTAAAAGCCAAGTTTCTCTCCCCAGTGGGATTCCCCAGAATAATCATCCTCACATAACAAACATGGCCACGCTGCAGGTGCAACATGACCTGGAACCCAACCAAGGGCCAAGCAGGTGAGCCTCCCCACTCAGATTCCCAGAGAAACACAAAACAGCTTCAGGTGGAGCTTCCCTTGAATCAGGTGGTTTCAGATAGACCTGGACCAAAAGGGATATGGAGCTGGTTAAGCCATTGTCTTTGACTTAAAAGCATCAGAGTCTTATTTCAGCCAGAAATACAGGCTCTTTCTTCATCTTGACTATCTTGCTATCCCCTACTCATCCTCAAAATGATTATCGTATCCCAAGTCTCTGTGCTGACAAATTGGTATGGTGCTCCCCACCATGTTTTCCCTCCTTGCAGGTTAGAGTGGGAGGGCAGTGGCCACAGCGAGGGAATCTTCTGGATTACGATCGCCGCTGCGTCTTGGTAAGAGGGGAAATGGGTGCTGATGAGCTAAACTGTTGAATGACAAGAGTGGTTCTACTTCTTGATTCCATGGTTTGTGGAGAATCCCCACACAAGTTTATTATTCACATGACCAGTAAAGGGTCTCTTTTAAAAGCAGTCTCTCATGAAATAGCCATCTTCCTCATGACAATGCAAAAAACAAATAGATGAGTGTTCCCATTTCCTAAACCCATAGCAGCTAATTCAGAAAGATCAGGGCTGTTTTACTGTGGATCTCATCCTTCTTCTAAAGCCGTAATTCCTCCTCATGATATCCAGTGCCCCCTATCAATGGCAGATTAAGAGGTATGCCATTTTGGTAGAGTACACAGGTTTTCCTGCCTTGGCAACTATTTCCAGATGATTTTGGGGAAAAGCACACCACCTGACTTCCCAAAGTCCAAGAAGTGGCATTCAGGGCCCTCACTGGCAGGGCTAGGCCATTGGCAATGAAACGACCAAACAGTGCCTGGGACCCTCACGCCTGGAGATGACCGCCAATTTCAACCTTCCTCTCCTTTACTAGTTCCAGGGGTTGGGAGAAGTTCTGAGGGGGTGGAATTCAGTCCAGTTGAATTTGGGGCGCAGAATGTCACTTAATTTTGTACCTCTCAATATTTTTTTTCTAGGTTGGCCGAATCCAGTATCAAAATCTCTAGCCTGGGTATAAAAGCCCATACATTTTTCTGCAGACTTCTGGCAGGTATTTAAAGATGTTACCTGACACATTCTTTGACTTCCAAAAGTCTACTCTATGTACACATTCGGTCGCACTCACTGAAGCAGTGAGCTTTGTGATCAGGAAGGGCTTGAGAGGCTGAATACTTAGGCACTCCACAGTTGTGGCTGTTTCTCAGCCATGGGGACCTGCCATCATTGCAGCATCTCTACAGTGCACATCATCAAGACTCAAGAGCTTTTACTCCAGGGTAGTGAGGAGCTCAACATGGCCAATATTGCCATACAACTCAGCAAAGCCCAACACAGGCATTACCATACAAGCCATGAGCTAACATGCCGGAATTCTAAGGCGCCAGAGGGTAACTATTTTAGGCTTTGCTGCCTAAATGATCTCTGTTGCAAGTACTCAACGCTGCCACTGTAGCACAAAAGCAACCATAGACAATACATAAACAAATGTGCATGACTTTGTTCCAAAGAAACTTTACAGACACTAAAATTTGAATGTTATATAATTTTCACCTGTCACAAAATATTATTCTTCTGGTGCTTATTTTCAAGCATTTAAAAATATAAAAACTACTCTTAGCTCACCAGTTGAACCTAAATAGGCAGTGGGCTGAATTTTGTTGTCAAGCACTAGTTTGCCAACTTCTGGAATAAACAAAGGGGAAGCCACTTCACTTATAATGGAAATGGTCACTGAATTTCACCCCCAGAAAGGGAATGTTTCTGGAAGAGGGATATTCTCAAATAGGGTCACAGCTGTGGTTCAAAGTGGCCCCAAGTCTGAAGGCTGTAATAAGTCTATGGTGCAAATATGTATTATGAAAGGATATGTGGGAATTCCAGATAAGCCCCCAACATAGCAGGTATGTATTTGAATCCACACATACATGTGCTATTAATAGAAAGAGTGCATTTCTCATCCTTTGTACTTCAACTTCAATCCAACACCCTGCACTGTCTCACTGGGCCAGCAGGATGATGATTTCAAGACTTACTGGGCCTCCTCATCCCAGATAATTCTCCTCATAAAAGGTATGAACCTTTGGTCCAAGACCTCCTCTCTGCCCGAGGTAGTGTACCAGGTTTTAGGGACAGAAAAGTGAACAAATGACCCTGCTTTTAGGAAGCTTGCCCCTACGCTCAAGGATGAGACATATATTGAGCAAGCCATAGCAAATAAACTAGTTTAAAGGATACATGACTCTCAGGGTGATACGAAAGTACAAAACAGATCAATCTTGCAGGAATATATCAGAGAAGGCTCCTTTGTGAAAGGAGCATTTAAGCTGCTGCCTGGATGATGAGTAGGATTTATCAAGACAAGGATAGCAAGGTGGGTTGGAGTATTCCATGCAAAAGGCACATATGCAGAGAACGTGAAGCAAAAAGAACAAGTCACCAACTGGGGACACAAGGACATCCAGAATAACTCATGTAAGAGCCAATTGAGGTGTGGGCCAGCCAGGCTTCTGCACTGCCTGCCAACCCTTAAAGAAAGCCAACAGCTCACTGGCATGAATGGAAACAGAGCGTCGCATTTTCACAGGTTACTCTTCACAAAACCCTGAAGAACTTTTCCGACATCTGGTGCAAATGAGACAGACTCGACCTTTGAGTAGGAGAAAAAATAAACAAATAAACCTCTTCGCCTGTGCTGATCTCCCTTTGTTGAGTATTTTTGAGACACCCTCTGAGAGTGCGGCATTTTTTCAACCAGGTGTCCCCAGATGTGCACAGTTACGCTCAACCGCAATATGGAGAACAAGCAATGCCTGATGCTGCTTGTGGGGAAGAGGGACTGAGGTATCTACATCGTAGACCTTCTCAAGTGTTTCCCAAAATGTTGTCTGGTTGAAAAATCACAAAGTGAACCTAAAAGGAGAGAGGAGAGAACATTTTTCCAAAGGAACCTTCTAAACCTTGTGTAGGACCTGGGTGTTATCGTATGGGCCATGTGAAGCCATTGCAGGACTTGAAAAGCCGAAGAATGGCTTGATCTTCCCATTTCTCCCAGCGTGTACAGCATGGATTACAACAGGCAAGAAAGAATAAAAGGAGACCAGTTAGGAGGCCATGGCTGTGGTAAGCCTAGGGATGGCAGAAGCCGGGATGAGGGCGACAAAGTTACAAAGAAGCATTGGAGACTTAAATTTCAGCATTGAACCAAATAAAGTTTTCTATGAAAAAAAAAAAAGAAAGAAAGAAATTACTCAAGCCTTTCTTTCCACACTGCCCTTAAATAAGGCAACTATTTGACAATTCATTTGGGCAGGATAAAAGTAACGAAGTTGAGAAGAAAAACTGAAAGGAAAGGTGATTTCAGTGCCCTGAATTGCAAAACTCATTTCTCTTTTCTCAATAAATCATCGAATATGGTTGCTTTCATGATTCACAGTACCTGCGAGGCTTTGGAGGTGGTACTCCGTAAGTTTTTAACACTTCCTCTGGAGAGAGAAGGGGAAAACATCCTACATTCTATTATAAAACCCAGCCAATTATTACTCCATGGCTTATCTGGAAAAGCTCTCAAGGAGTCAACCTATGCTAAATATTAGAGTTAAACTTTTAATTGTGGAGGAAAGACACAAGTCTTTTTAGTGGGCAAACTTCCATGATGCTAGGCCAGTAGATTAAAGGTCTTTGAAAAGATGAATCTTCTGAAGGTGGGATTCACATTTAAATCATATGTAAAATTCAGTTTTAGGACAACCTACTTACATCTAAAACCTACTTACATCTAGAGTTGTGACATTTTCTGGGGAAATGACTATGGTTTGGGCATGCTGTCCTTCCCTCCGGTCTACCCTCCACCCTAATGCCTTTACATTCTTTCTACTTAAAGAAACATTCTTTTACTACTAGTAAAATGGATCATCCCTATAATTTTTGAATTAATATAAAATGATATAGAAAAATAATGCATTACCTTTATGTTATACCTATATGCCAACCTGAGAATCATGGTGTCTTATTTACTCTTGCTGTACCACTTGGACCAAAGAAGATGAATAATCCACCTCAGACGTTTATTTGTTGTTTACTTGTCCATTTTTCACATTTTTATTGCTAGAAAATCACAGAGGCCTACAAGAAAATTCTCACTGAAATTAACACTTTTTTTTAATTTAAAAGGAAATTCTCCTTAAAAATATTCTCCTGCCCGGTCACAATGGTTCACACTTGTAATCCTAACACTTTAGGAAGTCAAAGCAGGACTATTGCTTGAGGCCAGGAATTTGAGACCAGCCTAAGCAACATAGTGAGACCCTGTCTCTACAAGAAATGAAAAAATTAGCCAGGTGTGGTGGCACACTCCTGTAGTCCCAGCTACTCAGGAGGCTGAGGCAAAAGGATTAGTTGAGCCCAGAGGTCTGAGGTTGCAGTGAGCTATGATGGCACCATTGCACTCTAGCCCGGGCAACAGGGCAAGATCTCATCTAAAAAAACCATATATATATTCTTCTATTTTTCTCTTTAATATGCATTCTTTACCTGGGCAATGGTTCTGTCAGGACACCAGGACCTAATAAGGAGAAGACGTCTGAAGCAGTCAAGAGATTTATCATAGGAATTCGGAAGCGGTTCCTCCTCAGGGTTTTCCTTATCAAACCAAATTTTCCACATTTTCTCATTTCTTGATATCTGAAAATACCACAGGATAAGAAATGTGTCATACCACACAAAAACCTTTCGGTAATAGTTCGCAGATATTTTTCATCAAACCTTCTGAGCATTCCAGGCATGTGTGAATTATATTCCTTGACTATTGTTTTATTTTATATTCCAGTACCAAAAAGTTTGATAGTCTAAATCAAATGTGATTTGTCTTAAAGTCAGTCTATAGTAACATCAGCCTATAGCTAGCTTTCAAAGTAGGGAGAGTCCTGGGATGTTTAATGTCTTCTATAGCTTCATGGTAACAAATGTGTAAAGAATAAAGAAATCAATGGAAACTCATTTTCATTATTTCAAGGAAGTATAAATTGCTCCACAAAACTTCTCATGTCAGGAACTAAGTCTCATTCACTTATGTTTCCTCATTTCCCAGGACCATTCCTGACACAAAAGAAGGTATTTAATACATGTTTATTATTGAAGGAAAAGATTTTTGGTCAATACTCTATTTATCTAGAATAATTTGAAATATACCATTTAATATCATCAAATGATCAGATGCCTACTACCTTCAGGCAGTTGGTAAAGAGGAAAAGGACACAGTACATTGTCCCCTGGAGATTAAAAAGCCAGTGAGAGACAGGCATTACATGGACAGGCATATCAAAAATATTGAACAAACTAATAACATCTACAGATAAATATAATCTTATGTTCTCTGGTATATTCCCTTTGATTGAAGCCTCAAGTATATTTCCTGGGATATAATCAAAGGGAAATCATTTCATGTTCATATTTAGAGAGTATCATTTAGGAATATAAAATAATAACCTCTTTCAATCATGAAGACTACTTAATGTGGAGAGAATTCAGGCTTCATATATAATCTCCAGAAGGTCAGAACTTCAACAATAGACAATGGTCCAGGCAAGGTCACTGGGGGTCACTCCAGGGGGGAATAAACTAGTGTGCATTAATACCTTTAAAAACAAAGTTGTTTAACTCATAGGAATGATTTGTACCCCAAGTACACGATAATAATAACAAACATCCCCAGTTGTAAGCCAAAACATAAAAATATAGCAGAACTTAAGCATCTGGCCAACTTAAACTGGGAAAGTAAAGAACTAACCTTAAGACATTTGCTAGTCAAAAAAAGCCTTCAGGCCAGGCGCGGTGGCTCACGCCTGTAATCCTAGCACTCTGGGAGGCCGAGGCGGGCGGATTGTTTGAGCTCAGGAGTTCGAGACCAGCCTGAGCAAGAGGGAGACCCCGTCTCTACTAAAATTAGAAAGAAATTAATTGGACAAATAAAAATATATAGAAAAAATTAGCCGGGCATGGTGGCACATGCCTGTAGTCCCAGCTACTCGGGAGGCTGAGGCAGAAGGATCACTTGAGCCCAGGAGTTTAAGGTTACTGTGAGCTGGGCTGACGCCACGGCACTCACTCTAGCCCGGGCAAAAGAGTGAGACTCTGTCTCAAAAAAAAAAAAAAAGCCTTCAATTTGTAGCTGAATAAAGCTACCCTGTTGCCAATCTCACTTCTGTATGGTCACCTGATTTTCAAGAACCTGTTTCCTGGCTTGTCCCAATTTAACTCTCTATACTCAACTTCCATGATTCCAACACATGCACTATTCATCAGGGGCTGACTGGTGCTGGGAGGATGGTAACTTCTAAAGGTAAGAGGCCAAGTGTGTGCATGACATCCATACCTGAATGCCTAACTAAGGCTGTAGGGGGGAGGAGCAAAAGAGGAAGAAAAAGAGGGAGAGAAAAAAGAGGCAAGAAAGGAAATTTAGCATTTAGAGGCGAGCTATTCATATTTCTTTTCATTTAATTTCCAGAAAGAAGGCAAAGCCTTTTAAGTACATCTAATTATTTAATCTAATTGAATCTATCCATTTTTCTACTTGTGGACCTCCAATTGATAATATTGACATATGGCCCAGGACAGAACTAGTTAAACTTCCTGGGCAAATTTCTTCCTGCTAGACAAATCTATAATGAGTAGAGGGTACCTTATCAAGTGCAGGAGCACTTTGAGGAAGGCCAGGCACATGTACTACCATTTTAAGAGTGACAACATTAAGAAATTTCTCTTTTCCACAAATATTGTAGCTAGTGATAAATCAGAAAGCTGCTCAACATGACATGTGCTTAAGTTTATTCAAAGCACAAGTTACCTGATCGAGGACATCTGAAAACTGCCTAAGTTTGCTTAGTTCCACCAAATTCAGCCAAGTCATGTCCAAGATCCATTTAAATGGTTTAGGAGGACAGGCTTTAAGGTCCAATGAGGCACCACCTTTAAAATTAAACATACACAGTTATAAGACTTTTTTCTGTAAACAAATCTATTTAATAAAATTTTTTATTAAACCATTTTAATTTCAATTATTTTACAACCTTGACATTTATTAAGCACAGAAACATAAATCATAGTGAAGAACATTCTTTAAAATTTAATAAAAGAATGACTAATTTTAGAAAAACACATTTAATAATCAGTAATATAACTTTGGAATTAGGCAGATGCTGGACTCTGTCCTAGTTCCACCTGACCAAGGTCTGGAACAAGCCATTTCATCTGTCTGAGCCTCTATTTCCAAATATGTAAAATGACAATAATAAAGCCTGGTGTTGTGATGTATATGTGTAAAACACACAAAACAGGATTGAGGACATGGCAGAGTATTACTCAATGAGCACCTATTGTCAACATTAAGGATTACTTGATGTTGGCATAAGCTAATTTTAAATAGAGAATTTATCTAGAAATGTTAGTAGCACTAGATATGTTTGAAGGATTCTCTCCACAAATCAGTATGTTATTTACATCCATCTTGAGCATACCCCAAGGGCTCTCTGCTATATCACTTATGTTTGGTCAATCTGACCACAACAAACACTTCCATTTAATACTGACTCCTATCTTTTTGCTGATGATTTACCTAAGCCTGTGTAACTTACATAACTCACACAACACCATAAGATAAATGAGACCTTAAAAGTGTTATTGTTGCCCACTTCAGGAAAATTGAATGTGTGAACAATCATATTTTAAGAGTTAGGAAATCTTCTTTAGGATAAAATATACTGTTTAATAAATAAAATCCATTAAAGAATTTCAAGGAAAATATGCTCTAAGCATTATTCTTAAAAGGATATAATAAATCCATTTGTCTACCTTTAAAATCCTTTCTTGAACAGAGTAGGTTATAAACAAACAATAACACTTGAGATATTTATTGACTCAATCTCCATTTTGTCCAAGCAAAATATATAGCACTAAATTATTATCTTTTGCCAAATCCATCTTAGTATATTTACAGCAACAAGGTAAGTGTGGCCTTGAAGCCAATTCAATGGAAATATTAGCTCACAAATGAAAACAGATTGTTTTAACGCTAGGGAGTAAAGACCTAAAGACAATGGCATTGTGTTGAATAAATGTTGCACCAATTTCCAAAGCAACAGTCCATTTTCCAACAAACTGAAAAGCATAAGATACTCACCATAGGGTTAGGGAAAGGCCATCCACAGAAAGGAAAGGGTATTCCTTGCAGACTAAGCGTTATTCATTGCTTAGTAGAGGTAACTACATCATGAACATCTTGCCTGCTCCAAAAGTGTGCAGTGGGGCAAAAAGGAGGATTATAATTTGGTGGAGGTGACATATTTCTGAATAAATATAGTACCAGACTAATTAGACTCCTGATGAATAAATAGCTGAGAAAGGAAGAATTCAAGACAAATTCTCAGGCAATGATGATTGAGAATTATGCCATTCCCTTTTTTCCTCAAACTCTTGCTTTGGGAAAAAAGTAAGTTTGGGTTTTTACCATAATACTTTGTCAAAATAATACATGCTTATAATGAAAGTTTTACAAGGTTATACCACACAATCACAAAGTGTCATAGCTAAGGCAGACTTAGAAAGTCATCGAGGCAGATCCTTTCCCATCTCAGACATGAGTCAAAAACCATATTCTGGGTGGTACTCTGTTATGAACAAAAGAAAGTTATTTATCACAGCTTTGCAGGCTAGGAAGTCCAAGATCAAAGCACTGACAGATTCAGTGTCTGGTGACGGCCCACTTCCTGGCTGACAGAAGGCCATATTCTCACTGCAACCTCACATGGTGGGAAGGGCTAGGAATCACTCTTGATCCTCTTTTTTTTTTTTTTATTTCAGCATATTATGGGGGTACAGATGTTTAGGTTACGTATGTTGCCCTTCCCCTCCCTCCCCACCTTGATTCTCTTTCATAAGGGCATTCATTAATCCCTTAGATTATGACTCTGTCTCCATGACCTAATCACCTCCCAAAAGCCCCACCTTCTATTAATAATACCATCACCTCAGGGGTTAGAATTTCAACATTCGAATTTTGGGGAGATATAATACAAACATTTAGACCACAGCACTATCTTAATAACATTTTAAGTTATATTATGTGATATTAAAGTGCTTACGGAGAGAGTTTACATCATCAGCTAGCTGTCAATCAAACTATTAAAGGGCATATTTAAAACATAATCATGTTCCAAAGTATCCTCTGAAACTTTGTTTCATAAAGCAGTGTTACAAATAGCTGTTGAATGCCAAGGCCCCACAAAAACCTATGCAACCTACAGCAATCATCAGACTAATCAAAATAAACTATTAATAAAAAACCGAAGATAATGTAACAATGCCTATCATTTGCTGAGCATATTCTATGCACCGGTATTTACACAAATGTGTGAATTCCCAACAATCCTATCACGTAGATTTTACTATCCTTGTTTTCTAAAAGAGGACACTGAAGCTTGAAAAGGGTAAATGATCTGCCGAGGAGCACTCATCAAAAAAATGGAAAAGTCAAGACATATTTTCTCTTTATTTCAAAATATTAAGGTGGTACAAACGTTTTTAGTTACATGGATCACTTTTGTAATACTTGAGTCACAGTTATAGGTGTGCCCATCACCCAGATAGTGTTCACTGTACCCATTAGGAAGGTTTTTGCCCCTCTCCTCCTCCCCGCTGCCCCCTGCTTGATTTCCACTGAGAATTACTTCCTTCTGTGCACATGTGTGCTCATTGGTTAGTTCCCATTTAATAATGAGTACATCTGATGTTTGTTTTTCCATTCTTGAGATACTACGCTTAGGACAATGGTCTCCAGTTCTATCCAAATTGTTACAAAAAAAGGCACTGATTCATCCTTTATATGGCTGAGTAGTACTCCATGGTATACATACATCACATTTTATTAATCCACTCAGGAACTGATTGGCACCTGGGTTGATTCCACATCTTTGCAGTTGTGAATTTCGCTGTAATAAACATTCGAGTGCAGGTGTCTTTTTTATAGAATGTCTTTTGTTCCTTTGGGTAGATGCCCAGTAATGGGATTCCTGGATCAAATGGTAGTTCTACTTGTATCTCTTTGAGGTGTCTCCATATTGCTTTTCACAGAGGTTGTATTTACTAGTTAAGTTTTATTTTATCTTACGTAAAATATACCTTTGAGTAAAACTTTGGTGTGAGATTGTGTGTGAATGCCTTTTTTTTTCACTATGAAAATGCTTTAATGGTGGTGTCTGTACAGCATGTGATGTCAAGACAGGAAGAACAGCAAGTGCACACACACTGAGACGTGGATATCAGAACAGGTTGTGAGTGAATAAAGAGCTCACACCACTTCCGTGCTTTACCTAGTGACAGACGGCTCTATGCCACCTCTTCCTCGGCCTCCTCCTCAAACTCTCCCTCCTCCTCGGCCGTGGCGTCCTGGTACTGCTGGTACTTGGACACCAGGTCATTCATGTTGCTCTTGGCCTCAGCGAACTCCATCTCATCCATACCCTCACCCGTGTACCAGCGCAGAAAGGCCTTGCGCCAGAACATGGCCGTGAACTGCTCTGAGATGCGCTTGAACAGCTCCTGGATGGCCGTGCTGTTGCCAATGAAGGTGGCAGACATTTTTAACCCCCGGGGTGGGATGTCACAGACAGCTGTTTTCACATTGTTGGGGATCCACTCAACAATGTTCTTGTTTTGGACATTAAGCATTTGTTTGTCCACCTCCTTCATGGACATGCGGCCCCTGAACACGGCAGCCACTGTTAGGTAGCGGCCATGGCGGGGGTCGCAGGCAGCCATCATGTTCTTGGCGTCAAACATCTGCTGGGTGAGCTCAGGCATTGTCAGGGCCGGGTACTGCTGGCTGCCCCAGCTGGTCAGTGAGGCAAAGCCTGGCATGAAGAAGTGCAGGAGGGGGAAGGGGACCATGTTAACAGCCAGCTTCCGCAGGTCAGCATTGAGCTGGCCGGGGAAGCACAGGCAAGTGGTGACCCCACTCATGGTGGCGGACACCAGGTGGTTCAGGTCACCGTATGTGGGTGTGGTTAGCTTTAGGGCCCAAAAGAGGACCCTCCCCAGAACCCACTCCTGAACTTGCTGCACCCTGATACGGAACTTCCAGCCTCCAAAACTGTCAAAAATAAATTTCTGCTGTTTATAAGCCACCCAGTTTATGGAAATTTGTTATAGCAGCATGAACTAAGACACATAGCTACTTTAAATATTTTTTTTCAGACTTTCAAGAATGTGATAGCAAATTTATGCTTCCCAGCCTTCCACTGGGCTGTATGGCTCCAGTGGCCCAGGGGATCTGGTTGTGAGCACTGCCTCAATACATGCAGAGTAATTAATCCATGGATGAGCTGCACGGTGGCCTGACCCACTCCACTCCTGTCACCTGGTCACTTTGCTTTAGCTACATCATACCAAACTCACTTTCACAGGAGGCCTTGATGCCACCTTCTCTGCCTTCAACACTCTTCCCCTAAATGTCCCCATGGGCAGCTCCCCTGCTCCTTCAGGTCTCTGCCCTCCTGCCAATCTCTTAGGAAGACCTGCCCATTACATATCCCATAATACTCCATTTAAAGTTTTAAGCCTTCCCTAGCCCACATACCCTATAACTCCCCACTCTCCTCATCCTGCTCTGTTTTCTTTGTAATACTATCTTCCCACATACTATATAATTCACTTATTACTTTATTAATTTTTCTGTACCTTCCCCATATATATTTATATATCTATATGTGTGTGGGTGTGTATATATATGTATGTATGTATGTATGTGTGTGTGTGTGTGTGTGTGTGTGTGTGTATGCATATATGCATGCTTCACAAGGGTTTTTGTTCACTGACATGTCCCAAATACCTATTCAATACCCTGGTACACAATAGGTTCTTATTAAACACTCGGTATTCATTCAATAAATCAACAAATGAAATATCTCACATAAACACAATCTTAACTGAAATGCAACAAAATTGTTATAACCAAAAGAAGTATTGCAAAGGGCCTTCACAATAATTCCTACACCTGTGTACAATACTTTATACTGTTACACTGACCTTTAATAAGAGTGAGAAACTCTTCATGCTTGACTCGGTTCCTCTGGATGTCGATTTTTAGGGTAAGCAGCAAGGTGAAGAGGAATTTGTGCTCCTCGTACAACCCTCGGACAGCATACTTATAAACCTCGTAGGTCATATGCTCGATGATATTAGCAATCCTCTTGCTTGTAATTGGGCTCTTGACAGACCTGGAGATGAGAACATTTAAATCAGGCTTATCCCACTGCCCTTTTCAATTGCCTATGAAAACAGCATCTTTAACAGAAAATAAGTAACTTTGGAGGACCAATTCTTATTTTTACACATCAAGAGTAAGCCTCCTAATCTAAAATAACAAGCATTTTCTCAACATGAAATAACATAACACAATGCTCAATGTTGTCTAAATCAATTTTACTTGCAGGGCATTATCATTCACAACAATATCTTGGGAGTTTTCTTGTTTAACAGAAACACATGAAACCAAAGGAATCAAATCAATGGATGAACAGTTGATAGAGCTTTCTCTGGTCATAAAATGACACATCAGAATGATTTGTTAACACATTGGTAATTACACTTATTTTGGATTAGAAACAGGAAAAGACTCTAACAAAGGAAACAGAGGTTGTACACGTGATGTCGTCATTCTAGTCCACAGATAGAGAATTCAGCTTGGCTTCCCTGGGCACAGACATACCTGGCTAAGGAAAGGTCAAACAAGCCCAGAAACTGGCGGAGCGAAGTCTGATACATATCATTAACCAGGCGCATCTCGGTAATGAGGAAGTAGAGGATGCTGCCCCGTGTAGCGACTGGAAGACAAAGAGCAAGGCTGTGTGTGCTGCAAGAGTGGAGAATAAATGATCCAGGCAAACAGATCAGCCTAGAGTCTAAATGAAAACAACAACTTTTATTTCTATGTCTTATCAGTGGCTGCCTACTAGCAATGGGATTGAGAGCAGTGCTCATGTATTAATATATTTAATTCT